GGAAGGACCATGGGAGAACTGCTCACACCTCTGACAGTGAAACATGCATATTATGACACTAAATGTATTAGAGTTGGTCTGATCATGAAGACCTGTTTCAGCCCCAACCGGGTGAAGGGACTTTCAAGTGACTCAGAGTAAGTAGGAGGGGTGTCCGCTGGCATCCTGGAAGCCCTGAACATAATGCTGCAGTACTCAGAGGATGTGCTGTCTGAAAGTTGTCAGTTGACAAGACTGCAGACTGCTTCTTGAAGAGCATGGTTTATCAAGTATCCCAAATCGTCCCTGATGACTTCGAGACCATGCTCAATGGCAGCATCGATGACCTGCTGCTGATGACCTAACTGGCCAGTCTCACACAGTCACTTAGTGCCCTCAGTGAGAAACTTGTAAACCCATGAATGAGTTCCAAGCATGACACCTGTCTGTCTGGGTCTTAACACAGAGGAAGTGAAGGAGAAATGGTTTTTTTGTGGTCTTGAGTCACACTGAGTCAGTCAACTGCTTGTGACTCTGATAGACATAGCCTACTTTTTGTAAGTGAAAAAAAAAAAAACAACATAAACATGAATTTTGGCTGCAGGGAGGTACTAACTAAAAACAAACAGGCAAGCCATAAAAATATTAAAGAAAAAAACCAATTTCATTCCAGGGGAAGAGAGGACATTCTTAACAAATACAAAGGCTGGCTGGGTATGGTGGCTCACGCCTATAAGCCCAGCACTTTGGGAGGTGGAGGCGAGAGGATTGCCTGAATCCAGGGGTTCAAGACCAGCCTGGGCAACTTGGTGAGACCTCATCGCTACAACAAATTAAAAAATTAGAAGGTCATGGTGGTGCACGCCTGTAGATCCAGCTACTTTGAAGGCTTAGGCAGAAGGGTCACCTGAGCCCAGCAGGTTGAGGCTGTGGTGGCCATGATCGTGCCGCTACACTCCAGTCTGGGTGACAGAGTGAGACTCCAACTCAAAAAAACAAAACAAAATCAGGGGTTACAAGTCAAGCAATAGAAGAACCTAGCTAGAGAAAAAAAAGAGTCATTTGCGCATGGTGACAGCACCACCAGGAATGTCGGACAATGTGTGATAAGAGGACAGCAAACTCAGCAATCTGTGACAGACATGGGGCGATACCCCCAATGTCCCAACAACCTGAGGAGAAAAATGAGGGTGCACAAGTTCTAAGTTCACAGAAGAGAGACGCATATGGTCAACCACAAGCGCATGCAGAGATGTCACGGACAATGTGGGTGCCACTGGCTAGGGACATGCACAGAAACCATAACCGTTTTCACTTATCTGGCTGACAAAACTCCAGAGACTGTGGATGCCTGGGATTGGTGATAGTTGGACCCACAGCATGGATGAGAGACCACCAGTGTAAAAATGATTTGGAATCTCTACGAGCACACACTGCAGACACTCTGTGAAACTCACTTTTGCAAATCTAACCTCCAGGAAAGGAATTTTTGAACGTAAAGAATTAGGCTGTTGCCTATGGCACTTTGCAATGACAAAAATACCCCAGAATGACCTAAATATCCACGAATAGGGATGTGGTTGACTAAAGCGGGCACACTCATACTCCTACTTTTTGCTTAAAAATAATTAGGGATGAGCCGGGCTTGGTGGCTCAGCCTGTAATCCCAGCACTTTGGGAGGCTGAGGTGAGTGGATTGCCTGAGCCCGCGGGCTCGAGACCCACCTGGGCAACTTGGTGAGACCTCATTTCTACAATAAAATCAAAAATCAGCCGGGCGTGGTAGTGCGCACCTGTAGTTCCAGCTACTTGGAAGGCTGAGGTGGAAGGATCGCCGGAGCCCAGCAAGTCGAGGCTGCTGTGGCCAGGAGCGGCCACTGCACTCCAGTCTGGGTGACAGTGAGACTCCAACTCAAAAAAAAAAAAAAAAAATTAGGGATAGTGGTATAGATCCACAGGACTGTCAAGAAATGGAATCACTGCTGGGTGCGGTGGCTCAAGTCTGTAATCCTAGCACTTTGGGAGGCCGAGGCAAGAGGATTGCCTGAGCCCACGGGTTTGAGAACAGCCTGGGCAACATGGTGAGACCTCGTCTCTACAATAAATCCAAAATTAGCCAGGCATGGTAGTGCTTGCCTATAGTTCCGGTTACTTGGAAGGTTGAGACAGAAGGATCGCTGGATCCCAGCAGGTTGATGCTGGGGTGGCTATGAGCATGCCACTGCATCCAGCCTGGGCGACGGAGTGAAACTGCATCTCAAAAAAAAAAAAAAAAAAGGAAGAAAGAAAGAAAAGAAAGAAAAGAAATGGAATCATGAAAGCAAGTTGCAAAGAAATGTGCAGGGTGCCATACAATTACTGTTAAAATAGGAAAAATCTCTGTGTTTTCATTGGAGTGTGTGTTGGTGAGAACACAGAGAACTTTACTTACCTTGGGTGGGTGAGGATGGGGAGGGGCTGGAGGTTGTTGGCTTGGGTTTTGTATAATTCTGTGTATAATTTAATGCAAGGAATGAGTTCTGCTGTTGTAGCTTGTAAAAAAAGTCAACCCCTAAATATGCATGTGTGCATGTAAATGCCTGAGTATGTATACGTGTATGCATGTATATGCATATGTATACCTGTATGTATGCATGTGCATATGCACATGCACGTGTATGTACATGCATACACATGTATATGCATGTGCGCACACACAGGCATGTGTATGTTTATGCATGTGTGTATGCATATATGTATATTTGTGTGCAGACACACACGTGCATGTATGTATATGCATGTGTATACCTGCATGTGTATGCATGCTTATGTGCACATACGTGTAAGTATATGCATATGCGCGCACATGCATGTATACGTATGCATATGCATGTATATGTGCGCGCACACATATAGGCATGCATATGTATATGCATGTGTGTATATGCATATATATATATGTGTGCAGGTATAGGCATGCATGTGTGTATATATGAATGTGTATACGCATGTGCATATGCATGTGTATACACACACACGTGTATGTGTATGCACATGTGTGCATATGCATGCATGTATAGGGATGTGCATATGCATGTATGCATATGTATATGCATGTATATGTGTGTGTGCACATACAGGCATGCATATTTATATAGTATATATAGTATAGTATATATAGTATATGTGTGTAGTATATATATAGTATATATGTATGTATATGCATGTATGAGTAGGTATATGTGTACATGTGTATGCACGTGTATGCATATACATGTGTGTATGTATAGCCATATGTGTTTGTATACACATGTGTATGTATATGTGTGTATAGGAATATGCATGTGCATATGCATGTATATGTGTATAAATATATATGTATACATGGAGGGCAGGTGGAGATCTAAGGATACAAAAATAAATATCGAATACAGAAAGAAAATTGTATGCTCAAGTCAATTCAAACTTTATAATTGGAGTGGAAACCATATATACATATGCATAGAAAAAAGATTGGAAGGAAGTCCATCAGAATGATGACAATGTTTGTATCTGGTAGTAAGATTATTAGTAACTTCTATTTAAAAAATAATATTCTGTTTCTCATATTTCCTATCTTGAATACATATTAGATTACTAATTAGGAAAAAATTATTTAAAAGTTGAAAAGGGGGCACTCTGGGGGAAAAAAAAAGAAGCAGAAAACAAGCTCAGGACAACAGAGGTTTCCCAGCTCAAGTCCAGCAGTTTAAGTATTTCCCAAAGAGCTGTAAGCAGTAAGTCTAAAGTGATGGCATCATTAAAATCACTAGCATGTCATGATGCAAGCTTTTTCTGTTTCTTACCAAAACCACAATTAATAACTCATTATTACCATTGCTGATATGAAAATTAAGAAACTCTGGTAAATAAAACACAGCAAATCATCAGAATTGTGTTCAAATGTTAAGGATCAAAGAAAGAAAGAAAGGAGGTCAGGTGTGGGGCTCACACCTGTAATCCCAGCACTTTGTGAGGCCCAACAGGGAGGATTGCTGAGGCCAGGAGTTCACGACCAGCCTGGCCAACATAGCGAGACCTCGTCTCTACAAACCAAAACCAAAAACTTACTCCTGCACTCCTGTAGTCCCTGATACTCAGAAGGCTGAGGCAGCAGGGTCACCTGAGCTCAAGAGGTGACCGTGCCACTGCACTCCAGCCTGGGCAACAGCATGAGACTTTGACAAAACGAGCAAACACACTCAGCTCTAATTCTGTAGCTATTTTCAAAGGAAATGAACTTTGAATTTTCCAATAGGCAAACCATCAAGGTTTCTAACATCACTATTTTGTATTTCTTTAGTTTGATCACAACCAAAAAAAGATCTCATCTTCACATAAAAGTGAAATGGCCTGCATAACTATTTTGATAAAATAAGTTTATGTGTTAGGAAAGAATAAAAGTGGTGACAACTCTGATACAAAAGTATCTAAGTAGTCTCATAACATTTTGAATAAGCTTCTCTCATAAGAGTAACCTCCCCTTCTCACCAATCTTTGCAGACACTGGAAATCAGAGATGTCACGACCCTGGAGAAGGAATAGATAAAAATATGATATGGGTAATTCTAGCTTGCTCTCTGGCGCCACCTACTGACCAAACAGCATTTCATTTAAAAACAACACAATTTTCCATTCCATTATAGCCTATGCTTTGGAAAAACCCAGGTGTTTTCCCAATCTTCTCATCTGGACCTTGCACATCTGAAAAAAATGCCATCCTAGAAAATGCTGTCTTAATTATTAGCAGGAACTTGCATCATATTTGCATCTAAACAGAAATGCCGGGATTGTTTGTCTGAAGCTTCCAAATGAAACCCATAGATAGATCACTTCATCATTTTTTAGGTACTACATGCATTTGACAATGGAGGATGTCAGATGTCTGTGTAATATTTATGAGAGGACTAAACACCTTTGCTGCTTCAAGTTCTCTTTGATTACATAATGATCCACACGTCCTCATTCCCATATCATATCTTGATTTTAAAGAATCATGAATGTTCAGTACATTTTAATCAAGTATCAATTTATTAGGGAACCATTTCTTTTTTATTAGGGAACTATTAGCATTAAACATTTTTTTGGGGGGGCCAAGTATCCACAAAGCATTATGTAGAAAATGGTTCTTCATGCCAATAGATTTGCATTTGTGTACTAAAACACAAATACCCCAAACTCTGGGGGGCATTTCATCATGGGGCAGAAGAGAGGCTGAGAAGTACCGTCTACTACATAAATTTAACGAGATGGTAAAAGACATTTTATTGGGGTTGGAAAATCAAGCTGGAAACAGACAAATATATTCACGATTTAGGAGTTTAACTCCAACCCCTCACTGGAATTATCTCGGTAACATTTAAAATTCAACAGTTAAACCACGGGATTCCGAGGTGGTCTCAAAGTTGTTACAGTGCTAAAAAAAATGACAGTAAGCAGTATAAAATTACAACTGTTGACGGGGTCATGGGGGCTCACAACAGTCCTGAAAACAAGAAGGGCAAACCCCTTACGGAATTCTACTTGTGATTTCTTTTTCTGTCGTTCCCCTCCTGTGTTTTTAAGGACTAATCCGGTATGGAGTCAGCGGGACAGAGCAAGGCAGGGTGGGCCGCCCCTTGAATGATGGAGTAGGTCTGCTTGGGAAGTTCCTGCTGCGAAGACGAGGAGAAGATGGGCGGGGCCGTGGCGGCCACCGCGATGCTCTGGCCGCCCTCGCTGACCACCGTCACCTCCGCGGCCCCCTCCTGAATCAAAGCGTTAAGGCCTTCAAAGTCGGTGCAAGCGACGCCCGAGCTGGCGATGAACGTCTGGCTGCCGGGGCCTTCCTGGGGGCCGCCGGGGGCCGCGGGCATCAGAGTCTGGTGCAGGGCGGCTCCGTCCGTCTGGTCGTGAGTGGCCAGCAGGACAGCCGGCTGGGTCATGGCGCCCGCCTCGCCGGGACACCCCGAGGGCGGCGGAGGGGCGATCAGACTGACCTGGCGCAACACCTGCAGCCGGCTGTTCCCGGGGAGCTCCTCGGGGCTCTGGGCCACCAGGGCCGGTGGGACGATGTTCACGGCGGCAGCTGCCGCCGCAGCCTGGACGATGGCATTCGCCTGGGGCACCTGGTGCCCCACGATGATCTTGACCCTCCCCTCGCCGAACTGGGGCACCGGGCCCGGCGGCAGGGGCACCTGCAGGTGGCCCACGGCGAGGGGCGCGGCGGGCGGCTTGCCGGGACCCACTTGGAGCTGGAGGACGGTCACGTCCGAGCCCTTGTGCTCGCTGTACTCACTGTGCTGCCGCTTGTGGCTGCGGAGCGAGTCCTCCCGCATGAACGAGGCGTCGCAGAGGTCGCAGGGGAACGCCTTCTTGGCGTCCAGCCTGGCCACCTGCCGGCTGCTCTGCCGGCCTGTGTCCTTCCTCTCCGGGGCCTCGGCCTGGACGGCGTCGCCGTGGAGCTTCCTCACGTGCTTGCTCAGGTTGCCAGGCTGCTTGGTGTCGAAGCCGCAGTAGGCGCACTTGAACGGGCGCTCCGCGCGGTGCGTGCGCTCGTGCGCACGCAGCGCGGCCTTGCTGGAGCACGAGTAGCTGCACGCGGAGCACTTCTCGGGGTGCTCGGACTGGTGCACGCGGCTGTGCTTCCGCAGGGTGGCCTTGCTGTCGCCCAGGAAGTCGCAGTGCGGGCACTTGAAGTTGTTGCCGCTGTGCTTGATGCGGATGTGCGACTTGAGGTTCCCTTTCATGGTGCAGCGGACGTTGCAGAACTCGCACTTGAAGGGCTTCTCCCCCGAGTGCACGCGCATGTGCCTTTTCAAGTCCGAGCTGATTTTGAACTTGGCGCTACAGAGCCAGCACTGGAAGGGGGCGTCCCCTGTCAACACAAGGTGAGTTTCGATAAGAACAGGCAGGCAACAACCACAGCGGATCCCCCCGAGGCGCACACCAGAAAACCTCTTTATCCCGAGGCGGGCGGTGGAGACCGGGTCACCGCGGCTCCTGGCGCGTCCCCGGGAGGAGGGGATACGGGGAGGTGGGGCGCCTCTTCTTTCCCCCAGACCCACACCACACCACCACCAGCAGGACACCCCGAAGGCAAAGGGGAGATGGAGGACAGCTTAGTCAACTGCTCCCAGTAAAATCACATTTGCAAACACGCTTCTGAGATTTTTTTCAAACGCTCGAGCTACTGTTCACACAGCCGGCAGCCCCTCGGTCAGCCAAGGGTTCACAGTTGCCTGTTTTTTGCATCATCCGGGGATGCTGAGCGAGTGACAGGTTGGAACCGATGCAACCACACATTTGCAAACGGGTCAGCGCCATGCTGCACTCCTTGGAGGGTTCTCTTTTGCAAAATGATGGAGACACCCAGCTTATACTTCATGCAGATGTTTATTAATAGAGACGTGTTTATTGCACAAAATGTATTTATCCCACATTGCCAGCTGCGTTCTTTACTTGTGAAGTTAGAAAATCCAGCTGCTTGATTTTTTTAAAAATTCGTATTTGCTGAAAGATGAGCAGGGAGGGTGAAATTGCAAACATCTGAATAGACACCATATTCCAAAATTATTTCCTCAATGAATGTCAAGTCCAGATTATCTAAGGCAATGACCATTAAAGTGAATTGGTGACCCCACACTCATTTCCATATTGTATAAACAAGTGAAATAACAGTCAGTCATATTCTTCTATTTCTTCCTGGGTGGTAGGTGTGAGGCTGAGCACGCCACAAGAATGGTCTCATCTGGTGATGGCAAGCTCCCCCTGAAGTGGGTACTATTATTGGCATTATTTTAGACACAATTGTATAGAAGAGGAGGTTGAAACCCAGAGGGGTTACATAACTTATTCATGGTCACCCAGTAGTACAAGGCAGGGCTGGGATTCGAACACAGGCGGACTCCAAAGCCGGAATTCTTAGATGCTAGGTAAGGATCGATGTACATAACTGATGTTCTCTTTCTCAGGCCATAGACACAAAAGGCTGGGCCTGTGTTCCAGCTTTTTGGCATATGGCCTTAACATCACCAGGAGCTGCTTCATGAGTGCAAACAGAGATGGTAGGGGGCGATCTGAAAAGCTTCTAGAACATTGAGAAGCCTCAACCTAGACAGTGCTTTTTCTGACTAAATACCACCAGGGTCAGGCATGCTAAACTCTAGAACAGTCAACGACAGCCTATTCTGCCCACAGCCTGTTTTTGTAAATAAAGTTTTATTGAAACACAGTCACGCCCATTTGTGTATACATGGTTATTTTCACTCTGTAATTGCAGAGGTGGGTAGTTTTTCTGACAAGCACTGCATGGTCCACAAAGCGTAACATATTTACTCTCTGGCCCTTTACAGAAAAAGTTCATGTTTGCTGCCTTAGAATGTTGTGCGTAACGCCCTTGATGGTTATCCATTTTTGACAGTTTAGTGAAGTCCACAAAACCTTTCTCAGATAATGTTATACATGTACAAAATAAATGAAAATAAGAGGAATACAAAATAAGGTAATTATGTTGAAATAGTTATTAAAAGAAAAAATTTGTAATATGCCAATGCATGTGCTTTATTTTTTTAATTCTTAATTTTTTTTAAGTCAAGGTTACCCTCTTGCCCAGGCTGGAGTGCAGCAACACAGCTCACCACAGCCTCGAACTCCTGAGCTCAAGTGATCCTCCCACCTCAACCTCTCAAGTAGCTGGGATTATAAGTGCACACCACCACACCCATCTAAATTTTTTGTAGAGACAGGATCTTGCTATGTTGCCCAGGATGGTCTTGAACTCTTGGCCTCAAGTGATCCTCCTATGTTGGTTTCCCAAAGTGCTGGGATTATAGACGTGAGTAATCACACCCAGCCCCATGTGCTTTATGAATGCATTAAAAAATAAGACCTTGCAGTGGGTCTAGTTACTACAGTAATTTCTGAATAAAGAAGAGTATAAAATATATTTTAAACTACCTGCAATAATTATTATGAAAATATTTGTGACTTCTACTGGCAACAAGTTCACATGCACTGTTATGAGATTGGTTACCTATTTTCATAACTAAGGGACATGTCAAATTTCAGTAGAGGTTAATGAAAATGAAGATAACTATGTTTTTCCCTTCTGAATTCAAGGACCTCCCTTTCAAGCTCTATGTGTTAATTTCTCTCGGTGGACCCAGAGTAAGAATTTCTGCTCCAGAGTGCTCTACTAGGTGCTCCAACTACTTCCCTGCCATAATTATAGTGACAGTCTTTTCATTTTTTATTATTGTTATTATTTTTAGCAATCTGTGGAGGTAAAGCCCAGAAAAACCAGAAAAGCAAATTTCATAGCTAAACTGCAGAACTTAACAACACTTTTGGACAGGAAACCCAGGCTTTTAACCCCTTGATTATTGTCTCTTTTTGTCTTCTTTAACTATAAACTCATTTCTTCAGTAAGGCATACTGGTCAAACAGTCCCACTGCACTGTAAGCTCTTCAAAGTGAATGACCATGTTCATTCTTACCTACTGCCTAAACTCAGTGTCTGGCACAGAGTGGGGCTTAAAGAATGTTGTTGAATGAATAGTGACTGATAAACTGAAGCTGGCAGATCTTTCCTGAGTTTAGGTTGCTACTCAGACAATGGGTGATGTAGTCCATCGAATCAATGAAACGGTAAAAAATAGAATCTGATTAATTTAAAAATTTAAAGTGCCACAGACTTATAAAAGGGAAAATGAACATTCCACAGGGAAAAACACATACTTGGCACACATTTAAATCATTAGAAAACATACCTTTTCTAGACCAATTTAGGGATGTTACCACAAATGGTAAATCCATCCTTATAAGTCAAAATGAACCACTTTCGTAAATGACTGCTTTAGCTTCCTTGAACTTAGGCTGGAGAGATTTCTGAAGAAATTCAATAGGCATCAATTACAACAGTGTCTTCACTTGCTATCATAGATGGCAAAAATGTTCCCAAATTTCCCCACTTCCCCTCCATCCCTGTGGCATGGGATCTACCATGTATATAATTATACATGCTATCCCAATGGGGCAGGATGACCTGCCATGACCCACAACGAAAAGCTCAACCATGCCATTGAATTTGTCCAATGGGAAGCAAGATAACTTGACACATGTCATGGCTTGAAACAGGCTTGGGCATTGAGGCTTGCTTGCATTTGGGTCATTGCCATGAGATGGACAATCCTGGTCTAGTCTACTGGTCCCAGAGAAGATGACAGATATGTGAAGCAGAGCTGGTCCCCAGCCAAGGCGGGGACAGCAGCCAGCCCACAGCCAGCAGAGCCTCAGACTCATAAGCAATTCCAGCCAAGATCAAATGAGTTGCCTACATGACACCTGACTGATCCTCAACATGTGAACAGAAAAGGCATGTTGTTGTATCTGTAAGGTTTTGTGGCTTTTTATTACGCTGCATCATTGTGACAATAGGTAAGCTGATACAGATATTCTCTAAAAATGGGATATGCCATAGCAGAGAACCAAAATATATAGCATTGGTTTTGAGACTGCAGGTGGGTGTTGGAAAAGTGGCAATTCATACAATTTAATGACAAACATTTGGTAAAGTTGTCACTGGCAGTACCTTAGAAGATAGAAAATACACACAAAGAGTTTTGGACTCGAGTAAAGATATAAGTGAGGTAAACTCTGGGCAGAACAGTGAAAGTGTTTTATAAGCTGCATATGATAAAGTACAACAAGAAAGAGACAACCTCAAAAAAAGAACTCTACCTTCTTTTCTTTTTATTTATTTTAAGTAGAGACAGCGTCTTGCTATATTGCCCAAACTAGTCTCAAACTCCTGGTCTCAAGTGATCCTCCTGCCTTGGCCTCCCAAAGTGCTGGGACTACAGGCATGAGCCACTAGGCCTGGTTGGAACTCTAATTTCTAAGCAGAATTTAGAGGGAATATAGAAAGACAAGAATTTTCTGGATGTAGTTTTTCATCTTTGGCCAGCATATCCAGCCAGATTTTCAAAGGAAGACAAAAGTCTGGGACAAAGATCTTTTCTAGGTAATTGATCTCAGAGTGAAGTTAAAAGAGAAATGAGGGGTCTGAACCTAAAAGTTTTTATTAAATCTCCAAAAGAATGAAGTCGGCACCAGGTATGTTCTCTAAGTTGAACAAAAGAACTCCTAGAACCCACAGAAGGTTTCATGCTGAAACTACCTATAACAAAGTTCAGAAAAAAAGTCAAGATTACAAAATAATTATGGGCATGACTTTTGGCATATGGATACATAGGAAACTCACGAAGTTTTAAAGATAGTTCTACCAGCAAACCTGTCGCCAGCTTAGACTAAAACAAAATGCAAAAGGACCTCCAGGTTTTGGAAGCAGGTAGCAGGCTGAGAAAGTTTCTCAAAGGTACATTTTAAAATTCTTTTCAGAAGTGACTTAGGAAGGTAATGGAAAGATGGTCCAGCAGGCAGTTGAGACGCAAAGAGCTGAGCCAAGGCCTAATCAAGAAACATTTCCTGTCCTCTGAGTGGGGAGGACCTGGAAACGGGCCCAGAAGGATTTTAGAAATGCTATGGACCAGTGACTGCCAAACGCTTTCTGTTTTTCCCCTTGCAAATAGTAGCTTTATCATAATGACCTGGCTTAGCTTTACCACTGTGTATTGGGTGTATGGTGACAGACAACTTGTCTTTGACTTCGATTGTCTCTAGATGAAAAAAGCCATACCCAGACTTGATGGAGATCACACAATCCTGGTCTTGAAGTCTGATCCTATGATTGGGTGAGACTCACAGGGTTCTTGGGAGGGTGTCGGCACATTCTGCATGTCAGAAAGATGTGAATGATGGCGGGGATAAAGGTGGATTGTGGTTGCTTGCAAAACGGTCCCAATTCTTCACCCCATGACCTTTTGCCATGTAACCTTGCAGTGACAGGGGTGAGCTCAGTCCTGTCCCTGAGGCCAGGCCCAACCATGTGACTTGCTTTAGCCACTGTGAGGTTTGCAGACCTATACAAGCAGAGGCTTGAAATGGGCTTAAACTGGCGCTTGCTTGTATCTCTTTCATCCTCATGAGAAGGACAAGCCCGGGTTAGTCCATGGTCCCAGAAGGAGGAGGAGGGATGCACAGAGCAGACCCAGATTGCCTCAGCCAAGGCTGGTGGACAGTCAGCTAGCCAACAGCCAGCAGATCCTTAGCCAAGGTCAGAAGACACGCAAGGTCAGAAGACACCCAAGCCAAGGTCAACAGCGTTATCTAGCCAACTCTCTGCTGACCTGAAGTATCTGAACAACAAATGTTTATTATAAGCCACTGAGACTTGGTGGTGGTTGTTTTGCAGGGTGATCATATCAATAGCTAACTGATATACCTGCCAAAAGAAAAATGTGTACAGTTTGTTGGGGGTACCTATGCAGCTAATTTTGCAGTGTGTTTTTTAGTGAAGCTGTCCCATGCTGAACTAATCAGAGTAGATATACTTTGAAAATTATTGAAATGCCTCCCTATAATGCAGACATTTGTGAAAGCTACATTGCTTATATCTGTATATCACTCAGCGCACCTTCTCAGTGACATACACTACTAGTCAATAAGTTAGAATTATAAATTATATAAAGATATAAATGTATATATAGATTTATATACTTGATATCTTTTCTTTATTTTCCTGAAACGCTCTTCTGGGCAGATGAAAAGCAAAATGCAAACAATGAGATGACCAAACATCCCAACTCATTTTCTCACATGGTGACCAAACGCTTTAAGGTGCTTATGAGTTAAGCCACAGGACGCCGGGCGCATGGACAGGGAGTAGGAGGCAGGACTTACCGGTGTGGGACCGCAGGTGGACGGTGAGCTGGCTGGAGTTGCGGCTGGCATAGGGGCAGATCTGGCACTTGAAGGGCCGCTCGTCGGAGTGGATCCGCAGGTGCTTGTTGAGGCTGCTGCTGTCAGCCGCGGCATAGTCACATGTCTTGCACTTGTAGGGCTTCACGCCCGTGTGGCAGCGCATGTGGGTCTTCAGCTTGTCCTTCCGGCTGAAGCACTTGCCGCAGACTTCACACTTATGGGGCTTGTCTCCTTCAGACACACACACACAGATGGCAGCAGGGGACAGGAGGAAAAGAGGAAAAGGCTTATTTCTGATGCCTTATGAAAAATGGAATACACAACTACCAAGGAATATTTAGAACACACCAGAACGCTGGATGATGGGCAGAGAGTTGCCATCTTGGTGGAGGGGGAGTTTCTTCTTCTATTTTCCTATTGGCATTTTCTAATTTTTCTATGGTGACAGTGAATTCCTTATTCGTTAAAAATAGAAGTCAACGAAAATAAAACTTTCAAGCACAGCCATGTAAAATAAGAAGCTGTGCATGGTCCCTTATACTCATTCTCTCCTTTTTTCCTTTCCTCAACAGAGACGCACTCTAAAATTGAGAACGCCTAAATTTTAGCAGAGCTCATGGCTAACCAGTCATAGACCACATTTCTGACAGAGAAATGGAAGAGAAAGTAAAGTCTGTCCCTTTCCTCAGAAGAAATTTCCTGTCTTTTACTTTTTCTCTTTCCCCTCTCTTGCCAGCTGTAGCCAACAAGGGGCTGAGTCAGCAGGTGAGGGCAGCACACCTGCAGATGGTGGAGTCAGGTGACGAAAGATGGGGGAGGAACCTAAGTTGACCTCCTAGGATACCCACTTGCCATAGGTGACCCGCTTATCTCTGGATAGTCACATGAGACAAAAACCCCTATCTTGTGTTAAGCTGGTGTTTGGGCATCTTTGTTATAGAAGCTTAACCTGAACCTAACTAATACATAATGTCAACTTGCCACCCATGTACGACTGCTACTTTTTGATGTGTATTTTTCCAATCTGCGTGTGTGTGTGTATACTTTTTTGGTATAAAAATAGTCTTGGCTAACACAAAGTGCTAGGATTATAGGCATGAGCCACTGTGCTCAGTCCATAAATTATTGATCCAATTTCCTACTTGGCCATGGAGAAGAATAAAGTAGATATGCATATACTGATATGAAAAGATGTCCCATATTAAATGAAAAAAGTTGTAGTGATAGAGTATTAACTTAATAAAATATTAGAAAACTTGTGTGTTTTTTTTTTTTTTTTTGAGTTGGAGTCTCACTCTGTCGCCCAGACTGGAGTGCAGTGGCCGCTCCCGGCCACCGCAGCCTCGACCTGCTGGGCTCCGGCGATCCTTCCGCCTCAGTCTTCCGAGTAGCCGGAATTACAGGCATGCACTACCACGCCCGGCTGATTTTTTTATTTATTGTAGAGATGAGGTTTTGCTGCCCAGGCAGGTCTCGAACCCGCGGGCTCAGGCAATCCGCTCACCTCAGCCTCCCAAAGGCACAGGATTACAGGCTGAGCCACCGAGCCCGGCTACTTGTGTGTTTTTTAGGCTTAGTTTGGGCATGAAAAATTGTAAGATGATACATAGTAGACTGTTAAAACAGGTGACTTTTGGGATGGCATTAGAAGGAGGTGGCTGCAGCTGAGCATGGTGCCTCATGCTGGTAATCCCAGCACTTTGGGAGGTGGAGGCGAGAAGAATGCCTGAGCCCAGGAGTTTCAGACCAGCCTGGGCAACTTGGCAAGGCCTCATCTCTACAATAAATAAAAAAAATTAGCCAGGTGTGGTGGCGCACGCCTGTAGTCCCAGCTACTTGGAAGGCTGAGGTGGAAGGATCCTCTGAGCCCAGAAGGTAGAAGGTATGGTAGCTGTGATTATGCCACTGCACTCCAGCCTAGGCAACATAGTGAGACTCAGACTCCAAAAAAAAAAAGGAGGTAGCTGTGATTTGGAATTTTCACATTTTTACTTTATATATCAAATGTGTATTTTTACCAAATCCTAATTAGTCAAGTGCTAAAATAAATTTTCAGCCAAAGTTAATCACTATCATTATATAATAAACATTTGGAATTTAACAATATATCTAAAAGTATATTAAAGATTATCATTTAAAAAAATAGAGAGAGGGCTTGCTCTGTTGCTCAGGTTGGAATGCAGTGGCCTGACCATAGCTCACTGTAAACTTGAACTCCTGGTTCAAGTGATCCTCCTGTCTTAGCCTCCCAAGAAGCTGGGACTATAGCATGACACCTGCCTCGCTAATTATTTTTATTTTTTGTAGAGATATGGTCTAGCTTCCTTGCCCAGGCTGGTTTTAAACTCCTGGTCTCAAGCAGTCCTCCTGCCTCAGCCTCCCAAGGTGCTGGGATTACAGGCATAAGCCACTGTGCCCAACCAGTTATAATTTTATTATTAAACATTTTAGTTGTTAAATTTAAAAATCCAGGGACATAATTTCCCACATTATCAGTGGCTCAATAGTTCCTTTGGTCACGGAACTGTTGTCTTGGCAACACCGCGAAGATCCTGGGCAGTGAGGGAGCTTGATGTTTTTGGTCAGTTCTGCTGGTAAAGGGCCCTGTGGCAGCTCCTGTTTCCCTGAAACTCCAGGAGTGATTAAGCACACCCTCCTCTTTGAAAGTAACTAACAGGGCCGGGTGCAGTGGCTCACACCTGTAATCCCAACTCTTTGGCCAGAAAGACACCTCATCAACCCTTGGACTTGAAGATGTCGATGGAGACACTTCATTCAGTTATGCAGAAACTATTCAGCACCTACAAGCTTGGCTAACTGTGTGTAGAAGTTTTCTAAAGATTTGCAGAAACAGACTTAAAGTTGTGGCACTCACTTATACTTTTGCAGTGCTTTCCCAATCAACATCACTAATGCTTTATTCTCATTTATCTGTTTTTGCCACTCAGTCACACAGGCTGGAGTGCAATGGTGTAATCATAGCTCACTGCAGCCTCGAACTCCTCAGCTCAAGCAACTCTCCTGCTTTAGCCTCTCAAGTACCTAGGACTATAGGTGTTGCCACCATGCCCACCTAATTTTATTTTTTGTAAAGACTGGGTCTCGCTATGTCACCCAGGCTGGTCTCAAACTCCTGGCCTCAAGTGATCCTCCCATCTTGGGGTCCCAAAGCACTGGCATGATGGGTGTGAGCTACTGTATTCTGTCTTACTTTAGTCTTTCAGTGATCAATATGCTATGCTTGATGGATAGAACTGCAACATATGAAGTCCCCAGGGAGAGTTTCATTGCTTGTTACATTAGAATGCTTGTCGATACCTGAAACTTAACATCTGTATAATTAGAATAAATCTAAATGACATGACACCATGAGGCTGATTAGAAACGATGGTGACCCCAGTGCAGTAAGGTGCTCATTGGTCATGGCAGAAGAAAAGAAGACGTAACTATTGGCTATATCATCTTCCAAAGGATGAGGTTAAATAGCAGACTTTGGGGGAATTTGGGAAGCCAAAGTCAAATTTCAGCATAACTTATACACATTTATACTCTGACTGTATACATGTCTGCGTCATTTGAATATGAGCATCTATTTAAAAGTAGCCTAAAAGTAATTTCTTTTCCATGTAGAAAATCTGAGAAACAAAAATAAAACATTAAAAATTAAAATCACCAAAAATAATGTTTTTCCTTTTTCCGTGCACTGATCTTTTTCTCTCCTAAAAATAAATAAAAAAAATCTATCAAATTCCCTTTTCAAAATTACAAAAATAACACACTCGCTATATCCAAGTATAATGTGAAGATATGAGGGAGACCCCAAAAAACCTGGAATTTATTTATGAAAAATTGTATATTTATTCTTCCATGTTTAAACTTCAGTCACCTTGAAAGTCCTCTCTGTTTGATGCAGTACACCCATCGAGATGCTTTTTCCACAGCTCGAAACAGTTTTTGAGCTTGCCAATGTTGATTTGTTTTTCACGCGTTTGCTGTTTTTTGTCTTACCTCTTCCACATAGCAAAACTTTTTCATTTGAGGACATTTTTCATCTGGGGGGGGGGGGGAAGTGACTTGGAGCAACACTGGGTGAATAGGGAGGGTGGGGTCTGAGGGTCATGCCAGTTTTGGATCAAAAACTGCTGAACACTCAGTGCAGTGTGGGCAGGTGTGCTCATAAACCACCCATCATGAAATGGGCAAAGGCATTGAAAGAATCTCCAAAAAGAACAACGTCCCTGAAGTTAAACAAAAACACAGCCTCTCCCAGCAACGCTAGCTGGTACACTGATGCCAATGGGTTCCTAGAACACTCACCTAGCAGGGGAAGCATGTACTACAAGGGGCCGGGCCTCCAAGAGATAATTCCAGGTTTTTTGGGCCCCCCCTCGCATATAAAGGGAAAGTTTCTATTCTTTCCTTTAATCTTCTCTTTACTAACCAACACACACACACACACACACACACACACACACACACACACACACACACACAATCATCTCCTTAAATAAAGGATATATGTACTCAAATTTTAATTAATTCTGGCAGATTAATTTTCGAATGGCTAGAGCAGTTCACATCCCCTCCAGCATAGAGTTTTATTGCTTTAAAGATTTTCTGCCAAAATCGTGTGTACAAAGGGCATCTTATTTTTTAAAATTTGGATTCGTATACTCATGACAGCCAGTGAGATTCTGAGTCATATCATGTGCCTGACTTACCTGGATCCCCACCTCCCAGCACAGAGTGGGTGTTCAGGGTCTATGTGCTAAATCAATGTCACTTACCTGTGTGAATTTTTAAATGACGCTCCATGTCCTTCATGCCGTAGGCAGTCTTGAATTGGCAACCTGCAAAAAACAGGGAAAGATTAGTCACAAGGGGACACCTAGTAACTTTAGAGTGGAGAAAACTGTAAGAAACTTCCTTAACCAATGTGATGAGAGCTAACACCCATAGTAATGGGACAAACAGATCTCACGGGCCCCCCTGGATGACACATCAGGAAGGACACAGCATCGCTTCTGTGGTTCAGGCCAAAACTGTGTCACCTGCATCTAATCTCAAGGAAACATCAAAAAATCCAAACCGAGGCCCTTTTTACAAAGTAACTGGCCTATACTTTTCAAAAATTTCAAGTTCATTCAAAGGAGGGTCTTTCTCATGTTAAAAAATAAATAAGATAGCCGGGCACAGTGGCTCACACCCGTAATCCCAGCACTTTGGAAGGCCAAGGCAAGAGGATTGCCTAAGCCCAGGGGTTTGAGACCAGCCTGGGCAACTTGGCGAGACTTCGACTCTACAGGAAATCAAAAAATGAGCCAGTGTGGTGTGTGTGCCTGTAGTTCCAGCTACTGGAAGGCTGAGGTGGAAGGATCGCCTGAGCCCAGCAGGTTGAAGCTGCGGTGGCCATGAGTATGCTACTACACTCCAGCCTGGGTGACAGAGTTAGACTCCAACTTAAGAAATAAATAAATAAGCCAGGCTCGGTGGCTCAGCCTGTAATCCCAGCACTTCGGGAGGCCGAGGTGGGTGGATTGTCTGTGCCCAAGGGTTCGAGACCAGCCCAGTCAACTTGGCAAGACCTTGTCTCTACAATAAATAAAAAATTAGCCAGGCATGGTAGCATGTGCCTGTAGTTCCGGCTGCTTGGAAGGCTGAGGCGGAAGAATAACTGGGGCACAGTAGGTTGGTGCTGGGGTGGCCGTGAGTGTGCCACTGCACTCTAATGTGGGCGACGGAGTGAGACTCCAACTCAAAATAAATAAATAAATAAAATAAAATAAAATAAAAATAAATAATACATACATACATACAAAAAATAAAAGAAAAATGCCAAGTTTATAAAAGACAGAAGTGTAATTGTTCCTAATTAAAGGAAACAAAAGACACATACAATCTAAATGTAATTAGTGACCATAAGTTGGGGCCTGGAGCATAGGGGAAATATGTTTTTCTTTTGATAGCAAGGATGTTAGTGGGAAATTGATGAAATCTGACTAAGGCCAGTAGATTTGATACTAATATGTATGTTAATTTTCTGATTTTCATGATTGTTCTGTGGCTGTATAAAATGATGCCCTTGTTTCTAAAAAATATACACTGAGATATTTAGGGATCCAGGGGTATTGTGTCTGCAACTTACTCTCAAATGGTTTGGGGAAAAATATATGTATAAGTAGAAAGAATAACAAAGCAGATATGGTAAAATGTTAACATTTGGGGAATCTAGATGAAGGGTATAAAGTAATTGTTTTTGTATAATTTTTGCAACTTTTCTGTAGTCTGAAATTATTGGGAAATAAAGAACTAAAAACAAAAGCAAGGAAAGAAAAACCTTCCTGGATGCCTTGCTAAGCTATAGTATAGACAGGCAGAAATATTCACAGCAATCTCAAGATTTCATGGGTTCGATTTCAATGGCCCATGGCTATAAAAGTCTTAGACCCCATATACACAATGACCATGAACAGAGAGACAGGTTGAATGTGCCGTGGGGATGTGATTTTTAAGCCAGGCAGTTTGGACCGCAGCCAGGGTCGGTTTTCAGAAAGTCATGGGGAAGAGTCTTAGAACCTGGCTAGGCGTCACACCCTCTACACAAGCAGGACATATGCTGTCTTTACCTGGATAGCAACAGTTAAGTCTTTTCTGAGCAGGTGGGGTCGCGGGCTTTTTGGTGCGTGACTTGGCAGGGAGAGAGATAACAGTGGCTGTTTGGTTTTCATTACTTTCCGTGGGCAGATATGTTTGATAGCCATGTTCGAAAACAAATTCTGGAGCTGAAACTAAAAGATATGGCGATTGTTAGTTTTCATAATATGAATGTCCAATAGCTATTCCATTGTCTACTTTTCTTCTTAAAGAATGAAATTGACAGACTGCTTTCCCAGCTTCCTTGCTGCTTAGGAAAGATCATGTGACCAAAGTCTAGCCAACGAGATACAAGAGAGCATCAGCTGAAAGGCTTCTGTAAAAGATTTTTCTCCTTGATTAAAAAAAAAAAAGTAGGAGCAGAAAGAGAAGCAGTTGAGGAAAGTTCATTCTTGCTTCCTTAGTGGCCCCACTTCCTGTCTCTGGAGTGAAGATGTGATGCCTGGATCTGTGGCAGCCATTCTGTAACCATAGGGGAAGGCATGAGAATCAAATATTGTCAGAGTTCTGAAAAACCCCAAATCCAGACGTCTTTTGTTTTTTGAATTGGAGTCTCATTTTGTCTCCCAGGCTGGAGGGCAGTGGCATGTTCACAGCTACTGCAGCCTCAATCTGATGGGTTCTGGTGATCCTTCTGCCTCACCCTTCCAAGTAGCTGGAACTACAGGTACACGTCACCATGCCCAGCTAATCTTTTGATTTATTGTAGAGATGAGGTCTCACCAAGTTGCCCAGGCTGGTCTCAAACCTGTGGGCTCAGGCAATCCTCTCACCTTGGCCTCCCAAAGTGCTGGACAGACTTCTTAAATGAACAAGACATGTCCCTGTAATTTACCCCAGGTAGGTTTTCTGTTAACTGCAGCCAAATGCATTAGGCACTTTCATAAACAGTACCACAAAATCCTAATAAAACACTGGAAAGAAACTGATAGAAGGAATTCTGGGCAAAACTAATCTAAAAACATTTCCCTCTGCGTAAGTATTCCTTTAAAAAAAATCTAAAATGAAAAAATAAAGTTTTAAGACATTAAAAAAAAATAAAGCAAAAGAGAGACCAAATGTAAAATATCATTGAAAAGATAAGATAGGAAGTCTTGAATTTCTTTTTTTTTTGCTTATAGAAAATTTTGTGATTACTTTGTTAACTAAGTTTATGGTTTGGGGCTTAGAAATTATTAAATACTTTCTTTCTTGGAATGTAACTTGTCATATGAAGATCTGACTTGAAATGAGCGGCAAATATGAGCTTGCTCATTTGGGAAACTTCTCAGGCTGAGAGGCTCTCATGATGATTTTGAGAGTTGCTGTAATATTTTGTTTCCCAAACTTCAGGCACCGAGGCACCATCTTCGACATTTTTGCCATCTTATTTACAGAACATATTTAAATCAACATAGGCCTAACATCACTCCTTATTTTAGTTTTGTCCAAAGCCATAAGTTCATGCCACAGGTTTAAGGTGGCAGTTACATTTTCTATTAAAACAAACACACTAAGTCTTTGAATCCAGGGTGTTGCAGATTGTAAGAGGGATCCTAATTTTATACAGAATAAAAACACTGCCGATTAAACACAAGATGAAACATTGCTTTCCTGCTCCTGAGATATTTTGTTTTATATTTCATGAATAAGCTCTTTCAGACTTCTTTGTACATTTGACAGGAAATCCAGGGGTCTGGCCTCTATCTCTGGCACCTTTGGTAGTGACAATCTCACTCTGATGTGCCTCGAATGACACCTGAGTTCTGTCAGCATTTGGTACTTGAGTAAACCCATGGTTTCCATTTTTCTCAATAGGAATATGGGTAGGGAAGTTAAGTGGCTTTTATTTAAAGTCAGCCCAGAGATTCTGACAACTGGTGTTCCCTGCCTTCAAGCTGAGTCTCTCTGAGGCATGAGTCAGCCTCCCTGCTTCCTGTGGACATGTTTTCATGGACACCGTGTGACCTGGCTGTTATTCCTGCTTTTGCCTGCAACGCTTGGTCCTCACAGAGTGCATCCCAGCAAGCAGCTTTGGAGTTGTCTGGCTACTTGTTACCACAGCCAAGTTTTGGGTCCCACCCCAGACCTACTGAATAGGTCGCACCCAGCCGTCAGGGTTCTAACAAGCCCTACAGGTGAATCTGATACAAGGTCAAGTTGAAGAACTACTAGCACAGGCCTTGCTTTTCCATGCATTTCAGCTGTAAAAATTAGCCCAGTTTTGTATAAATGTGGAAATCTGCCTTTCTTGGTTGTTGCTTTGAATGTGGAACTGCAGTCATTCCTCTGACAACACACAATTACTTCAATGGCAAATGGACCCCTGTTACTGTTTCCAGGCATTTCTGGATAAACACTGACTTTTCATTTTCTTTCTTTTCTCTTTTGAGTTGAGTTCTCACTCTGTTGCCCAGGCTGGAGTGCAGTGGCACACTCACGGCCCACGCAGCCTCCACCTGCTGGACTCAGGTCATCTTTCTGCCTCAGCCTTCCAAGTAGCTAGAACCACAGGCGTGCACTACCACGCCCGGCTAATTTTATGATTTATTGTAGAGATAAGATCTCGCCCAAGTTGCCCAGGCTGGTCTCGAAACACCTGGGTTCAAATAATCCTCTTGCCTCTGCCTCCCAAAGTGCTGGGATTACAGGCATAAGCCACTGTGCCCAGTCTTGTTACTTTTCATTTTCAACCTGCATGTGCATGCAGTATCTTGGAAGACATTTTATTTTATCTATTTTTTTTTTAGTTGGAATCTCACTCTGTTGTTCAGATTGGAATGCAGTGGCACGATCGTGGCTCAGTAAATCCTTCTGCCTCAGTCTCCTTGGGTAGCTGGAGCTATAGGTGTGTTTCACCATGCCCGGCTACTTTTTAAAAAAATTTTTTGTAGAGGCAAGGTCTTTCTATGTTTGCCCAGGCTGGTCTTAAACTCCTGGGCTCGAGCAATCTTTCTGCCTCAGCCTCCCAAAGTGCTGGGATTCCAGGCATGAGCCACCAATCTTGGCCTTGGAAGTCTTTTTAAACAGCAATTAGACTCAATACATGTATTTCCAACAGTGCACACAACTTGGTGACAAAAATGTGAGGTAATAGAAACTGAAATCACATTTGTTCACATGCACAGAAAGTTCATTTTTTAGGGCTGCCCGTGGGCTCATAGCAATCTCACTGCTCTCAGATGCCCTCCTGTGTCAGATATGTGAAAATGTGTCTTGGAATTGATGAGTCCAGGATCAACCACTGACAGTCTCCGTTTCTTCACCTATAAGCTGAGATCACTACCATGCTCACTTCAACTGGCCGTTGCAAAGTTTAATGAGAGAATCCAGTAGCCCAGGATATGGCCATGGTGTCTCAATTCACATCAGCTCCTTGGGCATCAAACTCTCAAGAGAATGCTCATGCATTAGGGTGGTCAACCGCCCTGTCTCCTGGGACCGAAGGATTTCCCAAGAAACAAAACTCTCGGTGCTAAAACCAGGCTGGTGGGTCAGCCTAATATGACCTTCCAACTTTCTGCTCTGTGACTTCTGCACAAGTTGGGCCCGTTCTGGAAGGCGCTCAGAGTCGGGTGAAAGTGGGTGGCCAGGCTTTCCCTACAGGTCAGCTCTCGGGGCCCTCAGAGTCCTCCTGGAAGGTAGGTGGTGGGCCCTGTACCCTCCTGAGTCTGCCACTTTCCGCCTTCTCTGGAGATCAGCTGGGCTTCACTCCCAACCTTCCTCTACCTGAGCCTGGGCAAGTCACAGCAGACGGGAACATGGGAGGATTCAGCATATGACCCCCTTCTCAGATAGATGACTTACAAAGAATTTCTCCCTTTCCATAGGCTGTACTTTTATTTTATTTATTTACTTATTTTTGAGTCAGGCTCTCACTCTGTTACCCAGGTTGGAGTGCAGTGGCATGATCACAGCCCACTACACCTCAAACTCCGGGGCTCAGGTGATCCTTCTGCCTCAGCCTTCCAAGTAGTTCGACTACAGGCACAAGCCAACACACCAGCTAATTTGTTTTTTAATTTAATTTTTTATTTTAGAGATCTAGGGTACAATTCAGGGTTAGGTATTCAAATGTTCATTATGTAGGTACCCTTGTTGATGAGGTGTGCCCCCTCGCCTCCCCCCGGCAGTTCCCCACTACTGCCAATCCCTTTTTTATAGTATTATAAAAATTGCTCAAGGTCTGCCTATGAGTGAGAACATGTGGTACTCAGTTCTTTGTTTCTGTGATAGATCACTCAATATCATAAACTCTAAGTCTATCCAAGTTGCTGCAAAGTTCATAATTTTACGCTAGCTAACTTTTTGATTTTTTTTTTGTAGCGATGAGATCTTACATGTTGGCCAGGTTGGGCTCAAGTGATCCTACCTTGGCCTCCCAAAGTGCTGGGATTACAGGTGTGAGCCACTGCACTTGATGCATTTTCATTTTTGTTTTCTTTGATGCACAGAAGTTTTAAAATGTGATGTAGTTCTGCTTATCTATTTTTGCTTTTGGGGTCTTGGGGAGGCAGCAGGAAGCACCACATGTGGGCAGTTAAACACAGCCAAGGGAGCTAGGCACCCAACTCCAGGGACCACTTGGCAGCATGGGGCTCCTCACATGACACATGAGTAGTCACCCCAAAGTAGATGGCTACTAGACCCGAAAGGGTTTGCTTAATAGCTTGGGCTGTGAAGTCTTACCTCCCTGTGCCTCAGTCTCTTTACCTGAAGAATGGGAACAATTTCCATTCCCACCTCCTACAACTGCTTGAGGATTAAGGACCAGGTATGTAAAGCTGCTATTGCTGTTGTCATTATTCATTAATTTATTCAGTAAGTATTTATTAAGTACCTATTGTGTACCAGGCACTGTTCTAGGCACTAGAAACAGCAGTGATTCAAAGAGATAAAAAAACTCTGTTCTCGTGGAACTGATGTTCTAGTAGAAGGTGGCACAGGGAATTTAAATAACTTAAGGCTGGGCACAGTGGCTCACACTTGTAATCCCAGCACTTTGGGAAGCTGAGGCAGGAAGATCACTTGAGCAGAAGGATTGTCTGAGCCCGGGAGTTTGAGAACAGCCTGAGCAACACAGAAAGACCTTGTCTCTACAAAAATATTAGCTGAGTATGGTGGCACATGCCTGTAGTCCCAGCTACTT